TTTAAATGTTAGAATTTTCTTCTTTAAACTTTAATGTTGTCGTCACTACATCTGGAAAACCACGTAAGAACAAATTAAAAGTATTTTAAAAGAGACCATGAGGTTGTTTGAAAATCCCAAACGAATGCTAAAAATCATAGAATCAAAACATTCTGGTGTCTGTGCCAGAGTGTCATCGAATTGCGATGTAATGTAAACAGAAATTATAGCAAGCTGATGTCAGTCAGCTTAGATGGTCCAAGCCAAAATTATATCGCATTTGAAGTTTCAAACTGTGTTAAAAATAGTGGAAGAAAAGCCGTAATTATACTTATTGTTATAATCCATTTATTAAAATGCAACATTTTTTTGTTTTAATGAAAAAATCAGTTATTTTCATGAGAACGATTTGTTATTCCATCTCAATTTTTTAATCTCCAATCGCAATAACGTAAAGTATTATTACCCGCGAACCAATGAGTCAAATTTAAGAAACAACCCACTGTTAGAAAGCTGAATGGCTACGCTTTAAAATTAATGTAAACTTTAACGTTTTTGTCTATTATTTGTTTAGCAATTTATATTTCAGTCGAGGATTGCGCTTTTTTTGATACACCCTGTATATATATATATATATATATATATATATATATATATATATATATATATATATATATATATATATATATATATATATATATATAGCTTAAGATTTTGGCTTACGAAACACAAACAGTGCTCAATACCATATAGATAGAGCGTAATATAGTTTTTCGTTTTACCTCAAAAAACCACAACAGTCTGTTTCATCCGTATAGGAATCATCAGGTGGTCCTGATGATTCCTATACGGATGAAACAGACCGTTGTGGTTTCTTGAGGTAAAACGAAAAACTATATATTTATTATATAGTAGAGGGTGAGATACTGAAAAATACACAGTGAGATATTTTCCATGTCTTCACTAGTGAAGGTATCGATCGCGTGACTTTTAGTATTTATGCAATTTTTTGCTTGGGACTATATAATAAACAGAACATTACATTACACGGTGGCTTGAAGATATGACTTTTATCTCCTCGTGTTAAAAACAATATTTTATTCACTCGCTGCGCTCGTTTGTAAAATATTGTTTGACCACTCAAAGAAAAAACTTTACAGTAAACGTCATATCTTCGCGTCGCCTTGTAGTATCCCATATATATATATATATATATATATATATATATATATATATATATATATATATATATATATATATATATATATATATATATATATATATATATACGGTATATACCAGAGGCAGAGAAAATTAAGTTTTTAAGTTTTTTGCCCGCAAAGCATTGTTGAAGTCCCCGCACGTAATATGATATAAAAATTGTTTAAGGTCAAGCATAATCATTGTTCCATTACCGTATTTACTCGCTTGAGCGCCGCGGCGCTCCATTAAATTTTCAGAGCTTCAGATGATGCGCTCATTCAGGGGCGGCGCTCAATCGGGGGCGGCGCTCTTTAAAAAACTTTTATTTGTGTATTATAAAAAGAAATTTTAACAATAAAATAAACAGGTTTTCAAACACTCATTAACAATTCATAAGCTTATTGGCAAATCATGTCAACCATAATATGTCACGCGCAGTGGCTTTAAACCTGATAAAACACTCCTAATTAGTATTCTTTATATAAAGAATACTAATAAGGCAGTATATATTGTAGTCGTGTCCTCGTTAGTATTTTTTATATAAAGAATACTAATAAGGCAGTATATCTATTAAATTTGTAGTCGTGTTTGAAGCCGTTTAATCACTCGCAGGTCGTGTTTTATCAGGTCTAAAGCCACTCGCGCTGCGCGCTCGTGTCTTTAAACCTAATAAAACACTCCTGCTCGATCGTTTATTAAACAGTACTTAAAACGTTTTTGTCACTAAATGTCCCCATTTTGACGGCGTAAAGTTTTTACGCTGTTTAGTGCGGCGCTCATTCGGGGGTGGCGCTCTTTAAAAAAAAATTATCTCAAGTACGGCGCTCATTCGGGGGCGGCGCTCAATCGAGTAAATCGGCGGTATATTGAAAAGCCCATTCCTTCAGCCGGATGGGCGACTCACAAGGCAGTGACGAAGCCAGCCCGACTTTTTACTCCTGCTATGTAAATTTCAATTTATTATCATTATTATTTTCTTTACAAATCGATTTTTTTTACAGACCATTAACTCGGAAAAATTAACATAGCAGGAGTAAATAATCAGGCTGGCTTTGCTACTGGCACAAGGATCCAGTAACACATGGTTACTGTTTCATTTTTAAAGTTCGTCCAATTTTATCAACCTTCTAAGCGTTTTATCAACCTTCTAAGAAAGCCAAAAAGTAGTAACTAAGAAAGCCAAAAAGTAGTAATAACATTTTGTCGTATAGACCAATTGCGAAACTTAGTAACCGTGCCTTCCCATAACATGAAAACGAGGCTTATTATGCAAAACTTAAAATTCTATTTTTTGTTTTGTCCGAAAGTCAAAGAGTGAGGCGCCAAGTTTTATGGCAGTGTTCTCTCGTTTTATCAAGTTTTTAGATACTTTTTCAGCTTAGTCAAATCAATTATTATGCTCATAGTTATTAGTATAGATAGTTTTTTTTCTTCAACTGACGCGTTTTCGTGGGGTGTTTTTTATCATTTTGACGGCACGAGCCGGTGGAAATATCATGGGAAACATCGAAGCAAACTCAGGTAAGCAAACCTTTTTTGCGAAATAATTTGTTATAAAGTTTATTACCATTTTTGTGGCCCTAGTTTGATTTTTTAAAACACGTGCGTCAATTTAAATCTAATATCCGGTGTGAAATCGGCCAATTTCCGGCGCAAATATTCACGTTTTCTGCAACACATTTGCAAAAGTTCGGCGTCATTTCACCACCATTCGTGTTCTGTTTTGAAATTGTTTTCATCGCAATTTGTTTTACAAAAAATGGCAATATTTAAATCATGACATAACAAATATAAAAGGAAATATTTTAGCTGGTGTGATAAGATGAATTATTATTTATTTAAAAAAATTCTGGTTTCTGATTGGCTAACAGCCAACTGTGAAATTGTCATATCAACTCAATGGTTAACCAAATATGGATTTTTCGTATTCATATTAGCAAAATGACGTCAAAGAGTCAATATAAAAAAAATTTGGACGCGTTTGCGCCATATTACTATGACGATGAGAATCATATTGACTCGCTGACGCCATTGATATGACGACGAACGACGGCTGCCGAAAGACTACGGAATTGTTTCTTTCTTAATATAAATAAAATACAAATGTTTTGAATTTTTTAAATAAATAATAAAACAATTATTGAATTCGGTTTTTGCACAATATGAAGCCCTCAGCATTCGGCTTCGGTTGATAACGGCAAACTTCGGGCTTGATAATTCTTCATATCGTGCTCAACCTCATTCAATAATTAAAATGTCGTTTCTTTTCGTTGTTTTAAATAATAAAAAATTTGCATAGCATGCATGACCCGTTTCCATGGCTAGCTTCACCACAGACAGTATTATAATTATACATGCAAAAACAAGTTATAAGCATTGAAAGTATTCATATAAAATCACCCTTGCCAAGAAAGTAGAATTAGAGCTGACCTTTGACTTTGTGCAAGGTATTTGATATTCATATTGCACTTTTCCTACTTCCTGAACAGGCGTCTTACTGGCTGTTTACATGTTGGAAGGCGGGGTGATTTTGATGTATTGAAATAAGTCACTATAAGCTAAACGAAAGTTCAAATGCTGGTTAACAGAAATCAAATGTTGTAGAGAAGATCTTCTAGTTAAAGAAGATTATTATTGCTGCTTGAACAACTTTTCGTTTACAGTTAACTATAATTAATCTATCTCTAGAAAATAATGTAGTTTCTTGCTTAATTGTGCACCGTAACCTTTTTCAATACACAACATAATCCCGCCTCACATCTCGTCCTGGCAAAGCGGGATCATATAAACAGCCCCTTATTCAGGAAATTGTGCATGCTGCCTTTGATCCATTAGAGGCATGTAAGGCACCACTTTCCTCGCTATATATAGTAACACCTAGTTTAACTAAATGTGTGAATAATACATACATGACCCGCTGATTCATGTCGACATACTCAACAAAACGTACTTAAGTGAGCAGACTTTCCAACGCCTGTACTATTAGTACAAGAGATTAATAATCATTTCTATGCCGGCTAAACACTGACGCGAGTAAATGCTTAGCAAAAGCCGCTTGTTCAACATATTTTTCGTCTTGTTACAGTTATTTTTTTATAATTGCAAATTACAAACCATGCTTTTTTCGATTCAGGCATATAGAATGAGCATCAGATAACGATCGTCTTTTTGTGTACTTTCAAACTCGAAAACTTTTTTTAACAGCTTGTCATTTATTTGAGCTAACATTTACTTAGTAATTCCATTTTTGCATGCATTATGATAATGATGCGTAAATATGTACATGTCTCCGATGTTTTAAAACTATTAATGGTCTTACTGGAAAGAGCACGTTACATTTCAAAATTGATCTCTGAGGAACTTAACATACATGCATGGCTTATCGGAGTATTTGCATATATTAAGAAACAGAATTAGCCTAATGTTACTAAAATGGGATCCTATCTGTTCCTATAGCTCCAAAATGTGTCAGCCTGCGACTTTAAGAAGATAGAAACAAAAGATTACTATTTATTGTAAGCAGGTGGCATACATCATGTTTAAATGAACGCACGCTTGATGTGCACCGAATATTTACATTAGTGAATAGTTTAAAGAAAAATATTAAGTATTCAACTGCAACTTAAATGAAGTAATATATATATATACAAGCTGTGCATAAGTCAAGCAGTGCTATCCTCTATGTCATTCAGGCAGAGGTAATACCGACGACTTTATAAAATATCTATATTAGTTTTGGTCATTTTGCAGCGTGAAGCCACCAATTGTGTTATACAGGTAAACTGTAATCGAACTTTTGGTTATTAACCTTCACAAAGATGGCTTCAAATAATTCGAGTGAGCTTTTGGAACTGGAGTTGAATAAGTTGGAGGTATTATTCCTGCTCATCTTTAATTCGCTTGAAATCATTGTCGGACTGTTGTCGAATTCTTTTGTCATTCTCATATTCTTGTTGGCAAGCGAGATGCGAAAACGTCCAAGCGATTTGTTGATTTTTAATCTTGCAACAGCTGATCTCATATTGCTGACAGTATTCCAGCCTTGGTTGACATGTATTATCAGTGAAATAAGTATTGGGAAAAAATATTACTTCTTTTATGAAAGTCTTAATTCGTTCGTTCAACTCGCAAGTGGTCATGCAGTGTTCCTTATATCATTGGATCGATTTCTTGCCGTGAGCATCCCATTAAAGTATGAAACTTGGGTAAGAAGAAATACTGTCTACAAGTTTATGCTTTGGTTTTGGGTTTTGGCGATTTTAATTGGAATTTTGAATGTTATGGCATATGAATTGAAATTCTACAGACCGTGGTTGATGTTCTGGATAACATTTCAATTGGTTCTTTTGTTATCCATAACTCTGATGTACGTGGTAATATTTTCATCCTCTTTTAAACAAGGAAGAAGAATATGGCAGAGAGAATCAATTTCAGAATCGGAGAAGCTCCGTTATCGCATGATGCTAAAAATCACAACGAATACATTTATCCTTGTTTGTTTCTTCTACACAACGTACTTGCCTGTCATAATTTATATAGCTCACTCTTCACTAGTAATTGGGAAAGAGAACGACTTACAGATGGGAACAAGAGCTTGGATTTATTCATTCAGTGCTATTAATTGTTGTTTTAATCCCGTGTTCTATGTGTTTCGTACGGCAAGGTTTAAACAGGTCTGCTATCGACTTTGGTCTGCTAAGAATATGAACAGGCGCAATCAACGTATTATTCCCGGTTAGGACGGATGAAAGCGGATTTACTGACTGCAGAACATTTGCCTAAAACTGCTTACAACTTGAGTTGTACTGTGCAAATAAAGAAGATTACTCACCTATGTCACAGTGGAAATACATGCAGACATCTCACTTCAGGTTAATTTCGCGTAAGGGATTGTTTAAGTCCGCCATGTTCTCAGCAAGTGCCCTAAAGAGAGGAAGTCACCCCCCTGAAAACATATTGAAAATTTAATATTCCAGGGGGGTGAATGCCTCTCTTTAGGGCACTTGCTAAGAACATGGCCGCCAGCTATTTCGGTAAAAAAGCGCCTAACGTTTTTGTAATGGAAGTTATACTTCTGTATGTCTTTATTCTGTGCCTATGTCGTCGTAGTGGAATTGAGTGCTTGATTTAATTATACACAGTACAACTCAAGTTCTAAGCTGGTTCCGTGCGACAGTTCATTCTATATGCAAAAGTTGTGTCAATAGTGTAAAGCCGGTTTTCTACTAGCACTATTGTTTTTGAGCTCTCAGCTGCAACCATCTGGAACAAATTGCCCAAAGACAAAAGAATAAGTTCTTAAAGCCGATTTTCCACTTGCGAATTTTTTCGCGCGAAGCGAATTTTTCATATGTCTTTGGTCTCTCAACTGGAACCATCTGGAACTAATTGGATAAAGACAAAAAGAACCACAAAGTTATATTCAGCTATCGATCCCAATTCATACCCGATAAGAAATAGCCGAACAAGCATCCACTGACACGACTGCATGGATTACTTATCTTAATGCAACTGCACTTCGAGCAAGGGAAACTTTACTGTATAGGTAATTATAGCCTTTCTCACCAAGACCGAAATCTGCCACTTGGGGTGTGCTGTCTGCCCTCGTGAGAGATTCTAGACAATTCAAGCAACGTGAAAAGCGACTTTTAAAAAGTTATAACTGTAAATTTACCAATATACAAACAACTACAATATACTAAAAAGTTATATTTCGTACTGCGGAAACTCTCAAACGTGGGAGAGGCAGTACTCCAAATATGGCGGAAAAAATGTGCCGTGAGAAAGGCTAATTGTGCGTATACTGTTGCATAGCCAAACTCATCAACTGGAACCTAGTTTGTCAACACAACATTGTTGATGGTACGCAAGGACAACTCAATTTATGGAGATTCTACGATGATGGAGCAGCAACTACATAAGCGTGAGTAAGGAGTAATTTCACTAGGTGTACTTGAACAAAGTGTATTACGATATTTATGTGTAGATATAGTCAAGAACGGTCTATGGCAGTATATATAAGCGCCAATCATAAGAAACTGCGGATTGATATGGGCGCGACTACCTGAATTTTTTTTTTTTAAATACATGGAGAACATCGACTTTTCGAGAGAAGTCCTTCGTCAGGAAGCCAGTTAAGCCGGTTACAGACGAGCAAGTTTTCTATGACAAGTTTTTGCTTGACAAGTTTTATTTGCTCGTCTGTACGCGCAACTTTGACCATTTTTTCTATGACAAGTACATTTGTTCAAAAGCTAGCATGCTAGCTTTTGAACAAGTGCACTTGTCATAGAAAAATTGTCAAAGTACAAATTCTGTTCGTCTGTATGGATCAACAAAGAAAACTTGTCAAAGTAATCAGAGCATTTGATGTTATTGGCCAGCTGGCTACCAATAAATTGTAAACTTGTTGACACGTTCACACCAGTAAAAAAAACTTGTCATATGAAAACTTGTCATATAAATTTTTTTGCATATACACGCGTGCACTTGGCAAATAAAACTTGTCACATAAAAACTTGTCATAGAAAACTTGCTCGTCTGTAACCGGCTTTAGTAGCCAACTACTATAGGCTATTAGCTTCAGGACGAAGGACCGTCCAGTCGAAACGTTGAAGTTCTCCTTGTGTTTTTCAGGTTATTGCATCCCTATCAATCTGCACCTATAATATATAGATATTGCTCGTTTTAGAATGACAGATAAGAACACTCATAAAATGATAAAATTTAATGCATGTGCTATCTATATATTTATTTATTCATTTAAACGTCGTCATTCAGTATTTAGACATGGTTTATAACTTGTGGCGTAAGTAGAATAAAGATAATGACACCCTAAAGGTCGCTAAGGAAGAACATCTGTCTTTAAAATATGTCAACTATAACATACACTTAACACTTGCACTTTGTTTTGACCAAATCCACTTGATTGGTTTATTTTTTGTCATGTGATCGCTTTTATATTCACTAACATCAAAACATATGTATTTTCCGATCTATGCTAATAATTCTGACGAAAGCCTTTAACTTGCTCGAAACGTCGAAGTTTCGCTAGTATTTTTCATATAATTGAATATCAATTCCCAGTTTCTGGTGTTTTGTCATTATTGATGCTGGTACGGACAGTTGGAGTTTATAAATGAAAAATATTGTATGATAGAATGATTTTAGAATGTGTTAGTGTCTATATAGAGCGTTCATTCCTCTGGGACCAACTCACTGAAAAGCCATGGCGACCACACTGGTGTTCCAGACAAAATTAAAATTATTTTGAATTGGAACCCCCAACATGGGAGCTGTGACGTCATGCGCAAACGCTCCACAGGGTGTCCCAAAAAAACCGAAAACTATTGAAATCACTTATTGTTAAATTTGAATGCCCTACCAAACAGCTGGACGTAATGATGCGTAAAATATTGACAAGGTGCATGTATTAGAATTTAGTTAGGAATTCTCCTGGTAAAGTGCGCGATTTTCTGCCCCTGGGAATTAAAAACAGCTTCTTAAACAGTTTCTTTATGCATAAAATTTACTTATGTCAATCATTTATGCACTCGTGGGAACCAACAGAGCGCTAAGGCATTCAAATTCTAACAATTAAATTGTTATTGGTGATTTCAATAGTTTTCGGGTTTTTTGGGACACGCCAGGGTGTCCCGAAAAAAGTACCCTCTATAGAAATTTATCCTATTGTTGTTAAGCACAGGATTTTATGCGACTGGTCAGTTAAAAATTCCATTCAATTGTGTCAGCGCACTCTTGTGTTCAGCATAGTGCTGAGGCAATCAAATTATAACAATAGGATCATTTCTATAGAGGGTACTTTTTTGGGGACACCCTGTATATAGCTAGTAAATTTTTCGCTCGCTGGTTCACTCAAATCTGCGACTTTATGATTGTTGTTTTACTAATCTGAACACACTATGACAATCTATAACACTCTATATCAGTCACACTATAATATAGTGATTGAATGTTGAGTAAACGAAAATGAGCAAAACGACAAACATAAAGTCGGGAAATTGAAACTTATACGAATGTTTCAACAATTTTGTCAGTAATGACTTAGGGCTCGTTCCCACTTTACATGCTCATCAATGCAATACCGAGGCGAATTAAAGTATTTTTAATGAAAGGGACACCTTATAGTTAAATTTATTTCTAGTAGTAATTATTAATACAAATAATATTTAAAACATTAATTATTTGCGATCATGTTTCTACGATTTCAGTTGGGTTAGATTCTGCCTTCTTATGTTTGTGTCGTGTGCAAATATCTTGGCTTATGTTGCATCACACTGGGCATGTGTTTAGCGTTTGAAATTGCTTTAAAAGAGGAAGACTGTTTTAAATTAACAAAGCGCTATCAGCGATAATAAATTATTAACGCTAATAATATAGCGTAACACGGGGCAAAACGAGACGCTTAAGAAGTGTGGCTGTCATAAAATAGCAAGAAGTATATTTAAATGCCTTTTTCAACATTGATATGTTAAGTAGAGTCAAGTGAACCAATTCAGTTCAAAATATATGTTCTTGAGGTAATATTGTGAGACTAATAATACATACAAGAAATACGACCGGAAGTTAATGTCTCATTTTGCCCAACTGAACTGGGGCAAAATAAGACAGATATAAAATATACCGAAATTTATTAAAAATTATTTAAATGTATAATAAATTAAGTTTAAAAGTTCATTAGCAGTCATACACAATGGTCACACTCATTGGTGTTACAAAGCAACATCACTCTTCGTGCAACCAGTTTTTGCACTCGGAATACTGGACCCAATCCTCACCCAGTGATGATTCGGCCAAAATCCATCACACATTGTGAATCTTCCACAGTGTCAGTGCTAAAATTCTTAGTTTTCCTTGCCTTCCTGGTATCAATCTTAGCTCCCTTGGCCTTTGGTTGTTGCACCTTTAGTTTCTTTGCCTTCTTTTCTGTGTCAAAACGTTTTTGCTTGGTTTTCTTGTTTTGTTCGATCATGTTTTCAACAAGAGACTGCTTGTATGTTGAACTGGTAATTATCTCAGGCTCTTCTGAACGCTTTGATTTTTTATTCACAGTGAGGGAAGGTAACTTCATGATCATAGAGAAGCTGACATGCGGTGAAGATAGTTCCCCGTGGTCTACCACAGGTGATTCTTTGGGGCAGGTGATGAAGTTCTGAACTCTAAGGAGACACGTAGTATTGGTGCTGTTTCTTCAATCACAGATGATGATTCTCTGGATTGAGCTTTAAAGGATAATGATTTGTCATGACTTGCACTCGGTGTTGCTGTGTTCCAGTCTTCGAAGGGACAACTTAAGGTGGCGCTTAATAAACCCAGCAACAAAGTCCCGACCAGCCAATTTATCGTCAGACTTAAAATCGTTCCTAAATTTGACAATAATCATACACAAAGGTCGACCTAATATCGTTGATGGAAAGAACATAAAAAGCTTGATCCATTATGTGCGCTTCAAGCTCATTCTCTTGGTCATGTGAAAGAATAACATGATAACGCCCCAAGCGTCTCTCATCCATAGATAAATTTTTCAACTTACCTTTGACTCTATGATTTAGGGAATCCTTTGGAACTCCAAGGACAACAGCAGCTTTTCTTATGGACAGCTCTTTTTTCTCAAAGGCCAAGATGGCAAGCTTCATCTACTCCTCGGACCAATTTGCACGATCAGTCTTCCTTATGTAGTTTCTAACCATTCTAAAGAATGAAAATTAAAGCCCAGCAAATGACTTTCAGACAAGACATAACAAAATATAAAATTTATTGGCTAACGTTTCGTTGTATTGTTCACAACATTTTCAGAGCAATTAAACTTATTTACAAGCGTGTATTATATATATATATACAAATAGTTTCAAACGGTTACAGTATTCAAATAAGCGAATAAGAGGAAGGGTGAAAAACAACCTGTCATTAAAAGCAATAGTATTAGTAAATTAAATAAATGCTGGTACGGACAGTTGGAGTTTATAAGTGAAAAATATTGTATGATAGAATGATTTTAGAATGTGTTAGTTGTTTTTCATCCTTCCTCTTATTCGCTTATTTGAATACTGTAACCGTTTGAAACTATTTGTATATATATAATACATGCTTGTAAATAAGTTTAATTGCTCTGAAGATGTTGTGAACAATACAACGAAACGTTAGCCAATAAATTTTATATTTTGTTATGTTTTGTCTGAAAGTCACTTGCTGGGCTTTAATTTTCATTTTTAAATTACGCTTTCCACCCGGTGTATCAATCGCTATTCATTCTAAAGAAAATAAAATGTCTATTTAGTCATCTCGCCAACTGATAACCAGACAGAAATGACTGTCAAAACCCAACTACAGTAAACACAGACTATATTTTTATGAATTGACATGACAAATGCATTGAGGATCTTTATTTAATATAAAAATTTTGAGCAATGATGCACATTCTGTATCGAGGGAAGAAAGATGGTAATAAAGACACTCACTGCATCGAAACACCACTTTTGGGACTAATACGCATGCTGTAAAATAAATCTATAAAGAAATGGCATCATAAAATACTTAAATACTATATGATATAGATTACAACATTGAACATTACAACAGATACACAGAAGCAAACAGAAATGTATAATCTTACAAGGAAATATGTCTGTCTCATTTAACCCCACTGCACTAGAGTGAATTCAAAGGCCCAAAATGATAAAAATTAAGCCGAACATGAACAAAATACAAAACGTGTCGATATTCGCCTAGCTGCGAGTGGACCTCAGATTGGAGCTGCGAACTGCGAGTAAAAGATCGAAAGCTGCGAATGCGAGCGATCACATTGGAGCGATCCATCCTCGTACCCAGGGTCTTTTTGGGAAAGACCCTGGTATCGGCTGGTCACGTGACTCTACAAAAATTGATTGCCCAAGAGGGAGTGGCAAAGTATCAAATTACAAGCTTCCACAGAAAACGTTAAATTTCAAATACCAGGAGTGGGATTTTACGATATATAGTTCGAAGCGCCCGCTAACTTCTACTTTATATCTCCGTTTGCTTTTAAATTACAAAAACACTGTAGCATTTTATCAACAGTCAAGTCAACAAACAAATAAAATGTATACTTTAAACCTTGAAGTTGGGTATTCCCTTGAAGCATATTTTCATATCAAACTGGTCAGTCCTCAACGTTTGTACATTCTCACTTTTATCTGTTCCGAAAACATGACATTAGATTTCTTGTTTGAAAACGTTGATAAACTTTGTGCAGATTTACTAATAGTACGCGTCTCATTTTATAGTGAAGGTTGATAAAATTTTGAAATGTAATTAACTTTTTGTCACAAATCACAATGTAAACATGTGGACGCTGCCGAACAGAGACTAAATGCTCACTTTAAAACTGTCGATAATTTATCTTTGAAAATACTTTTGATTAATTAAATAGTTCGTCATATTTTTTTAGAAACCCTGTAGATCGGTAGGGTAGGAGGTTGGTGGGCGTGTATCATCAGGTGGTATATACAATCACGGCTTTAGCCTGATAATTTTTTGGCCTCCATGCACTAAGTAATGGGGTAACAGCAATATTTATAACAGTATTTTTCTGATATACAGTACACACTTTATAATATAAACATAGTCATAGATAATTACATAAACTACGTAATAAACAACGGCATAAACCACGGCATAAACACTGATATCACACTCAGTCTGATATGCATATGCAGTCATATATAGTCATATGTACCCATCACAGATATATTAACACTTACATATTCTTAGAGTTTGATTCAGTATTATATTTCACAAAGTACTTCATTACAGTAAAGTAATTTCATTACAGTATAAAAGCTAATGTCACAATTAAAGCTATTTATCAAATTTATCATGAGGACAGCATTCTTTAAATGTCCTAAATGTCAAACCATCAAACATACACAGTATTCGTATTTGTAACATACACGCACAGACGAGTCTTTCACTTATCTTTGAGTAGGCTATTGTCGGATTATTTTACCGTAGATTTGATAACAAGGAGATATACTTCGACATATTTCTTGAGCATCAAGCTCTGAGGATGGTTCTCCGAATAGCATTGTTTACAAAGCAACATAGTTTGCGATATTTCAGAAATCAAAAGATCTCTATATATTTCGTTGCACATCTCAGTATTAAATAAATCCTTTAGGATAGATATCAACAGCTAAATAACAGCCACATCGGTCGGTACTGGTGTAGAAATATATATTCTTGTAACGTTTGCGACGAGTTGATTTCTTCGACGAGCTGTATCGGCATAATTAGTCTATTGAAATCTGATCTATCTTTGCTCACCGACATTCTGCGCACAATGAAATTTGATATTTACTGTTGTATAACATTGATAGTCTCATGACAAATAAAATATACAATTTTGTAAATATTTCCTGCATGATTTCTGGGTTATTTCTTCGCTCACTCCTTGCTCAATGACAAAGCGTACTTAGGTACCCACCCTAATTGAAATTGTTTGTTACCTCCCAGATTCTGGGAGACACGTGACCAACCGATAACAGGGTCTTTCCCAGCCGGTGGAAAGTCCCTGCGACGGAGGTTGGGAGCGATCATGAACTCCGTGAATGAGTACTAACTGCGAGTTTTACGCCATTTAGAAATGTCAAAACTCAAAACTGTAAAAGGGAACTATAAATATATGATGTGAACGTGTGTCTATTTCTTTTTCAGAAAAGTTTGATTGTTTTTTCGGAAAGTCGTTAAAAACATCTGCTTATTTGATTTTTTTAGCAACTGAATTTTGAATTTTTTCCTAAATTTCCTTCACATTTTCTTCATAAAGCCAAAATTTCCTTTGGAAAGGAAATTTCTTTCAAAATGGAAGCGCTGCCCATGACAAATTATCCATGACAAACTGCAAAGAATGAAGCCGATATTACCCATACTTACCTGCAACTTATCCAATATATAGTGAATTAAATGTGCCTTCGCCGGCCCATTTAGTACTACTAAATTGTAAACAAATTGTAAATTTTGATATACTAAAACGCTGTTTTCTGACCATCAGAATTATGTCAAATCTTCCCCAAAGTCCTGGAAATGGCATTTCAGAGACTCTAAATTGTAGCTGTTAATAATTTATAGACTGACAACTGAAACTTGGAAAACACAATTAAAACCTTCCAATTTAAATTCTGCAAAAAGTATGAACTCCAAACTTTGTAATAATAATTCGCTGTATATAAACTAAACACCAGCCACGTTTGGAGAATGGACCTTACGCATAATGGCGTCACAAGGATTGATGCCCGCGAGGAATGCTGGTCTTAGTAGTCATCGCCCAGGAAAATTTACTTTTATTTTTTCCGGGCGATAACTACTAGGACCAGCATTCCTCGTGGGCATCCAGCCTTGTGGCGTCATTATGCATAAGGTCTTTTAGATAGGATAAAATAATCCTGATAAACGAGAAATATACACTTTCAGCTACAGACGAATGTGACGGTATAGTAGATACACGACCTCACGCTAAGATCACCAAAAGTACAATTAAACACGAAATACTCCACAAAACGAGACGCGAATTACATCCAAATAAAGATAAATTGAACATACGTATAAATCCAATGATGAAAACCACAATATGTGAAAGGGGAACTCCAGTCCCAAAACAAGTTGAGTTTAAATAAAAGATCATACCATTAATATATTGTTCCTGAAGTATCTCGGTCCAAATCGTTTTAGTAAAGGAGAAATTACTCGTCAAAGTTCGCGAATTTTGCAAATTTTGACGCCATGTTGTTCTTTTACGTGCAGGCGCGAATTTGGTCAGCGCCCTTATTTGTGACGTCATTGCGTGCTTCTGAAGTGTTATTGTTCTCACATTGCTAGTGTTTTACATTTGATTTCATCATGAATATCGATGTTTTAAGTCCATCGAGCGATAGTTCATCGGATTCAAGAACTTCAAGTTCTTCAGGTGAGAGTTTAGATGAATTTCATAGGAATATTTTACAAGGGGCGAAGTTCTGGGCTACCAGTTTGAAGCTAGACGAAATACTAACAGCGTCAGTGCTGAATTATCTGACAATGAAGACGACCAAAGTATGTCGATTGACGAGGAAGAATCGTTCGTTCGTTTGGGTAATCTTGACTGGTAAAACATCATAATTTGTGGTTTATATTGACGAATTGAATTTTCGTGTTCTTGAATTATGTCATTCCCAGCATAACTATTTGTTATTGTTAGGTGTTTATGTGAACATTGTCAGATAATGGATAGAGAGGAAGAATGCATGCGTCTGTTGTCATGAAATTGAACAGGTCGCTGATAAAAATCAAGAAGTTATGGAATACGCAAAGCCAACCCTGCCATATAATTGCATAACAGATAATCCAGGTTTCCATACAGTCTCAGTCTGTTTAGAGTAGATGGGTTTTACAGGCTGCTTGGTTGGACTATAAAGAGCAGTATGGAAGTACAGCATATGAAGGTCCTGAGCACAAAATCTCTCGCCATGTCGCATACCGCCAGCTAGTGCGATGGTGTTGGGGAGTGTTTGAGAAAGAAATACGAGTTGTTCTTCCATCTTGTGCTGTTAGCTGCATTCAAGCCCACTTTCCACCTCCAAGTGATGAAGATGACTTTGAGTTTGTTGGATTTCGCTTTGCTGATGAATAACTTGATTGTTCTGTGTTAAAAAATGGTATTTGACATCTTTACTACTTTAACATACAAACTCCCAGTTCATATATTCAAAATGTCTGTCACTTCTGTTTATTACTGATACGCTTCTCAATGACATCCTGTTTTGGTGGCTTAGGAGTTGGTGCAATACATTTTGCTTGAATTTTGGCTTGTATTTGATTTTTTTGCCTTTCTTACACAAGATTACATCATTCTTCATGCCCATAAAAATAATAATAATAATAATAATGGAAACTTTTTATTCGATATTTACGATATACTATATATATACATTGATAAACCTCACTTAATAAAAGGTAGCTTATCGATGTCCACTTGAATTGAATATAAAACTAAAATATATATACAGGTAAAAATCTTTTAAATTTAGTTAAAGTAGCGACTGTATAGCACGATTTTATTTCGGGGAGTGCAAATGTATTTCATCTATTTTAGATATAATATTATTAAACAAGTCACATATATCCGATTGGTGTTTTTCATCTGACATGTTGAAATTAAAATAACGATCAAGGTAGCGAAAAGATTCACCAGTTTCGGTACGGGGTACAAGTAGGTGGTTAATAAACAATTTAGGTTGATTTTGAACAGATTTAGATGAGTGTTTTTTAATACCGAACGTAGAGCACTTGTCAACACGTATAATCATATTGGCCCATTGACACCATACCGAGAAGCGATTGAGTAGAATTTGATTTTCTTTTTCTTGGCTACTAATCACAGCCGCGTCGTCTGCAAACTGGAACCAATGAATTGGATTACACGGAATACCAGTTGTATTAAATTTCCAAAAACCAAGCTGGAGGAATGATTCAGATTTAATGTGTTGTACGAAGGTATTAAAGGACATATTGAAAAGGAGTGGACTAAGGCAGTCACCTTGTAAAACGACACGGCCGACGGTAATGAAAGGGGTACTGAATTTTTCAGTTATAATAGATGTTTGGAAGTTAGTATAAAGACTCCGGATTAGTTCATTTATAGGATCGGGTATATGATGATATTGAAGAACTTTGTAAATAAGGTTGTGATGTAGTTCACCGAATGCATTCTGCAGATCGAGTAAAGTGATTACAAGTGACCTTTGTTTTATACGGGCTGTGTTGATTGTGTGCGCCATGTGGGCTATATGTTCAACAGTTCCTGCAACGTTTCGGGTAAAACCTTTCTGGATGTCATGTTCTATTAATAATAATAATAATAATACTAATAATAATAATAATAATAATAATTATAATAATATAAAAATACTAAAAATACTAAAAATACTAAAAATACTAAAAATACTAATAATACAAAAAATACTAAAAATACTAAAAATGCTAAAAATACTTAAAATACTAATAATGCTAAAAATACTAAAAATACTAAAAATACTAAAAATACTAAAATTACTAAAATTACTAAAAATACTAAAAATACTAAAAATACTAAAAATACTAAAAATACTAAAAGTACTAAAAGTACTAAAAGTACTAAAAATACTAAAAATACTAAAAATACTAAAAATACTAAAAATACTAAAAATACTAAAAATACTAAAAATACTAAAAATACTAAAAATACTAAAAATACTAAAAATACTAGAAATACTAGAAATACTAGAAATACTAGAAATACTAGAAATACTAGAAATACTAGAAATAATAGAAATAATAGAAATAATAGAAATAATAGAAATAATAGAAATAATCAAAATAATCAAAATAATCAAAATACTAAAAATAATCAAAATAATCAAATAAATAAAAATACTAAAAATACTCAACCTCGTTCCCAGGGCTTTTCCCTTTTTGTCATTGGGAAGGCGGGAAAAGGCCCTGGGATCGGCTGGTCACGTGACCTCAAAATACCCACATTTTGTGGGTATTATAAATTATAATAATAATGATTAGAAAATCCAAGATGGCCGCCAACCTAAGAGTGTCCACAAAATTTAAGTGCTTAGAGCGGCTTAAAAATGCGTTTAGTCTTGGAAATTTTTCCTTCTTTTTGCTACCGACGTACTCGAAATCAAATTCTTCAGCTTTTATTACATGGGAACTATGTAGTTGCTGTTCTTCCAACTGGGTTTGGTATAAAATATCGTTCGTTCGCTAAACAAAATTAATTATCAGCCAAAATATAGTATTACGACAGATGTTCTCCAGCTGGACAGGCTTGCCTAAGAGGATACGGAAAGTGTTTTGAACTGGGGATGTTAAATTTGGTTTTACCCTTCCAAAGACACTGCTGTGCGACGATTGGAGCGAGTTTATGAGGAATATTTTATACAGTGATTCAAAGAAATGTTTTGCATATACTGTACTGTATATGTTATTGATGTATTGTTGAATGTCACTTATATTATAAAGTGCCAATGGTTGGAATATTTATTCATTGATATTTTAAACACAGATTAAGTGTTATATGCTCTTTCCTTGTTTACGTTTTCCTTGTAGCCAAATGTTGTTGAAGCTGGCAAGCTGCAAAACTGACATAGGAGTATATAACTGACATATATGCATCTTAGTTTGCTTCCAGTAAAATGTAAACAAGAACTTAAGAATTCTATATGAGATAAGAAATATTACGTTTAAAATCATGACTGGCAAATTAGCATGTGCAATTGATGCTTCCTAATAATAGTATGTACTCCAGCAGTGGAGAAGGAAGGGGGGGCACGGGAGGCACGTGCCCCCCCCCCCAATTTTTTCAAATGACTAAAAGTGCCCTTTTTTTATGAAAAGTGCCCTTTTTTTTATGAAAAGTGCCCTTTTTTGTGACGAAAAGTGCCCTATTTGTACAAGCTAATGTCGTTGTAAATACTAAATTAACACAATAGGTGCCCTTTTTGTTTGGAAATTTCCAAGCTTTTTAAAAAAATTAGGTCAAAAACATCAATTTCGGCGCCAACATTTCCGGGAAAAATTTTTTAGGTGCCCTTTTCAAAACCGTAAAGTGCCCCTAGAAGCTGGTGCCCCCCAAACGTTTGATGCTTCCTATGCCCCTGTACTCCAGTAAAGCTTGCTTGCTTCAATTCATGCTGTTACCATCTACACATTATCAGGGTGGAGAGTTGATTTGAATTTTTTGTCCCAGGGGATAAAGGTAGGGAATAGATTTTCCGTAACAAAAGGGGCAAGGTGCCCAACCAGTTAGAAGATGACATGTACTTTAAGTGACCATCATTATATCCTAGGGTGGGGTGGGAGATTCTTATGTCAAAATGTCACGAGACCCCTTTTTAATCTCTTAATTTAATAATGGAGACCCCTCCTAAATATTTAAGACTATATAACATGATGCAATTCTAATCTTCATTCATGTGAATGCCTGACTATGAAGAAAATAAATTTTGCAATACAGGGATGGATCCAGCATGATCTGGTAGGGGGGGGGTGTGCTCTACCAGCTCTGGTGCCGAGTTGTGTTGGTCATGTGTGCCGCCCACCCATCAGCTTGCTTCACCACTGCAAAGTCTTGCTTTACTACTGTATTTGACTTGTAATTGTTGTTCACAGATCGCTTATCATCATGTTATTACTCAAATTACTGTATCTCATTTTGCCTGTAATAATTTTTTGCTTTATCATGAAAAATAGCACCCTCTCTGGGCAGGGCTAGGGGGGGGGGGTGCACCCCCCTCCAGTAAATCCATCCCTGTTGCAACATACACTATAAGAGCTAGAATGATTGCTTCCTTTGGATGATTTGTCTTAGAATTATATTACCTAAATAGTATATTACAACAATTCTTCCTCTTCTGAAACCAGTTACTATTCTGTTTTTACAACACTCACCCCCCCCCAAAAAAAAAACTAAACAAATCAAGGACCCCTCCAAGGCAATTTTGCAGCAAAATAGATTTAATTTGATGGTAACTGTTCTGAGAATATATTAACTCATTGAGTGGCAGCATTCTGCTTAGACTTGCCACAAGTCGACCTCGAACGAAACGCAAGCAGCGAGTGTGAGCAGACATTTTGTTCGAGGTTGACTTGCAGCAAGTCTACATTCTGCCCTTGAGTAAAATTGTCTGGCACCAGACGGGTAATATACTAAAGTAGGGCACATTGCCACTATATAACGGGTTAAACAAATTTAAAAATTTTTTGCAATGGTCTATATTCAAAAAGCTCTATTTGTAAATATTAATTGACTTTTATACCTACTTATACTTATAGCTACCTTGCCCCAGTCACTTCAAGTGAATTCTACGGGAGGAGGGGGACATTGAAAGTCCCTGGGTTTACTTCAGTTGGTAAAAGCAAGAATTGAACCATGCATTACATGTATATAGAGAGCAGTTTTAATTATATTTTATCATGCAAATTCCTTGATAATTGTTCTTAAACATCTTTGGCTTAGAATGGGCACACCCTCCAAAGGTGTTTGTTACAGGGTCCTAAGGTGTAAATATACACTGTCCAATATGCAAGGTGTTAATATAAACAACAATAACAATGTATATAATTAAATTTTATTAAACAAAATGTGGAATATTTTACCATACATTACCATCCCAAAGTGTACATAATTTATCAATATAATTAGGACCTTAGAAGCTGTTCGCATGAGTTTGACTCTGACCCAGCACCCTTGGCTAGCTCCCCTTGCCCGATCACAAGTAGAAAACCTCCAACCCCCTCAGACAAATCAGTCCAGATCTGCCTAAAAGGCAGGATTTTCTGGAATATTATTAGCAGTGAAATTGTTGCATATTTTCAAGCATGAATTGTAACCTGATTTTAACGCCTGCTTGAACTTCAGACATTGTGGCAATGGCAAGATGGTCCAGCTAGCCATATGAATACAATATTAAAATAACATAAAAACAATGCAATTTAAGGCCAGACAAACCAACTCCTGCGAACAGCCCTTTATTACACATTTGAAGCATCTCTTAAGGCATCAAAGTACAAGCATGCACATGGAATTACATACGAGTATGTGACATAAGCCCACCATTGCACAACTTTGTCTGCAACAATGTAAATACAATCAAGCTGGAAACGGATTTTATAAGTATTTTGATATATACATTATGGCTCATGTCTAAAGACACCTGCACTTTCATACTGAAATTGTTCTAATATCATCCAAACAAAACACATCAGAAAACTGTAACATCAGCCAAATGAGCAAATCACTTTTTTAATAGTATCTGAAATAAAACCAAATCACATATTATTCAAAAGTTGTAAACATTGTTGCATATATGATATACCAAAATATCGTCGCATTTCTAGTGGTAACTAACTATAAATTAGGCCAATTTAAACTCCACTATGAAGAATATCAAAAACTACACATAAACATAAAACATTTTAAAATATAAACGCTATACGAAGAATACGAAGCCAATGAAGGCACATTTCCCTAAATACTCGGTCAGAGCCTCAGAGGTGTGTTCTAGTTCACAATTAATCTTCTCTCACAGTTTAAAACAAACAATAATACTAACCTTCGACAAATTGTGTATAAATCTTATCGAATTTAACCATTTTGCCACAGATTTTGCCAAAAATATTTCTTAGACGGGCAAAAGTATTTATAATGACACTCCTGACTCCTTGCGTGAAAATGTTAATTTATCCCAAAGTTTGAATAAATTAATCCAAGATTGCATTATTTCCATAATAATGTACTTGTCATTGACCAATCAGAATACATAGAAGACCAGCCGATCCCAGGGCCTTTTCCCGCCTTCCCAATGACAAAAAGGGAAAAGCCCTGGGAACGAGGTTGAAAAATACTAAAAATACTAAAAATACTAAAAATAATAAAAATAATAAAAGTAATAAAAATAATAAAAATAATAAAAATAATAATAATAAAAATAATAAAAATAAAAAAATAATGAAAATAAAAAAAATAATAAAAATAATAAAAATAATAAAAATAATAATAAAAATAATAAAAATAATAAAAATAATAAAAATAATAAAAATAATAAAAATAATAAAAATAATAAAAATAATAGAAATAATAAAAATAATAAAAATAATAAAAATAATAAAAATTATAATAAAAATAATAATAAATATAGTAATAAAAATAATAATAAAAATAATAATAAAAATAATAATAAAAATAATAATAAAAATAATAATAAAAATAATAATAAAAATAATAATAAAAATAATAATAAATATAATAAAAATAATAGTGTTAATAATAGTATCTATTGTCTATGAAAATTTTGTTGTTTTTATGGTATAACTAATCTTGGTAAGAAATTATAACAGAGCAGCAGGGCATCGACATTTTTACCTAAAGTTAGAGGGGCAGGGCAATACATTTTTTCATTTAACAAAACGAAGGGCAGGAAGATTTTTCTGATGAAATTTTACTTTTCCACCGGCCCTGCCTTTTAGAAAATTTTGCGTGGTCCCTAACTTCCCGTAAACAGCACATTTCTACACCAAGCTCTCGATTAGTCTTCAGCTGCACTTGCATGTTCGTTTCTACTAGTTAAACAAGGAAAATATCCAAGAAACACTGGTAAATTATAGTTGTCAAAAAAACATTTCAGTGGCAGTAGCAAGGTCTCAAGGCCAAGGAAAGGTCAAGTTGTCGATTTCATTACATTTTGCAGTACTTCGAATGCTTTCGAACTCTTGCTTCATACAAGAGCAGTAAACGCACGTATTTCAAAGCGAAATAAGACGTATATAGGCCGAATGTTTCAACAAAATTTGTTGTTAAATTCTGTTTCCTATGTGCCTTAGGAGCAAAAAAAAGTGATTTTTAATTTGGAGCAAATTTATTTGCAATTTGGCCTGGTATTGCGCCCTATACCTATATTCTGACTGTGATGTAAAAGTATAATCAAATATACTATTTTTAATTTCCTCTTCATTGAAAGGATCTAATATTGTGGACTAAACTAAATCTTAATCGACATATAAGGCTGCAAATAACAAACAAGTATTAGCTGGGTAGTTTGCAAACTTTAAAAATAATTGGACCTCAAACTGTGACATCCAAAAGTAAACAAATAGCCAATACTGCGAACATAATCCAAGTTTTGATCACTAGGCGGAATTTTTAGATGTAAAAAACTTGTTTAAATTACACTTTAAACAAAGGTAAAATAAAATTTGGTATTATTTTTTCACAGTGGAACAAAAGTCAAGGTTTTTTTGCTATCCGCCCACGCTTCTACACCCCCTCTCCCCTGATCTTCTATCTCAAAAAACAGTTTTCCGCAGAAACTATGCTTTTTTTCTCGGAAAATTTTTTTATTTCTCTCGCAAAAATATTTTATAAACACGGAAACCTTAAATGTTTAAATAATTTTCATACCTTTTTGGGATTGCAAAAAGCAAAATTTGATTCATTATCCCACTTTCTAAAATATATGTGACAGAGTTGCTTCATATTCACTATCACGCAGTAGCATGTTTATTTACCCTCATCCTGTTGACTGAATAAAGTTTATCTTTTTGAAAAGGTATTTGTTTTATAGCTCTTGGCTACAGGTTCACGTTTATGTCGATTTTGGCACCCATGAGACCAACAAGTTGTAGTAATCCGCGAATGAAAATGGATATTCGAAGAGCATAAAAGCCAACTCCTAGCTATATGTAACTTTAATCGCCTGTATTTTTAATCAATCCACAATTAAAATGCTGATAATGTAGATGCTTCCCATGCTTGAGATGTTAGTGAAGATTTTCCTACCCAATTTAATTTCCTTGATCGCCGTCTTAAAAATGCAAAATCATAAGTTGAAATTTCTGACTCGTGTTCGGTTTTTTTCAAAGTTTGGAAAATATCACGTGCGCCCGCAATTACTCTGCACAGCGACAACACTTTTCCCAGCCCCTTCAATGCTTCCCTATCCCAGGGTGTAAATAGCCGGGCTGAATTAGTACCCTCCCTCCCCCCCCTCCCGGTCTAACGGCCGAAAAGGCGCTCCACGCCGTTGGCTCGGGGATGATATACAGTATTCAGTGGCAAGATAGCCATGGCAACTGGTCATGCCATGTTATAATAAACCTGCATCATTTGAATGATGCAAATAATAAAAAATTGCATACCATGACCTGTTGCTATGGTTAGCTTTGCCACAGACAGTATCATAGTTATAATCAATCTGCAATGCAAATCGTTAAAAACTTGCACAGCCTGACCTTATTCCATGGCTAGCTTCACCACTGACAGTATATTACAACTAGAAAATACATGCATGCAGAAACCCTCGCCTTGCTGACAAAACCATTGTATTTTCCGAACATGAAGTATCTAAAGTAGTTGTTATGGTAACACGATAATCTTTTAAGAATATTCTTACAGATGAAAAATCGCCTAAAAATATCACTTTTAATTACAAAATTATCAATTAGTCCCAACATATATATGTTAGGTATGTTAATATACGTAATATAAGCTTCAATTTAAGGTAAAATTCAACCACAATCGCTTCGCAAAACGTTTTAAAGTGTTTTTTATAAAACAGAACTGCCTTATAAATTAAATGGCTTTATCGATAAACTTTGAGTTTGCAATAAAATGATTTCAAATTCTCACATGCAAATAACTTTGTTTTCTTTTTTATTTATTTAAAAAATCAAATATAATAAAAAAGGGAATCAATTATATTAAAGATACACTGAAATTATATGCTGTCTTGTTTAGTTGTTTCATATACGCAATGGCCGTCGGGTTTTAAAGCAATTGTAAAATCAATATTTAAAGCAAACTTACCTTCGTTAACGTTGGCTCCCTTCTTTTAGCCGATTCTTTCGCCCTTTCTTTCTGAGAAAGCTTTTGAAATTTACAAAATCTTGCAAAAATGGGAGCAAGAATGAAATATATTTGCAAGAAATTTATCAATCATCAAATCAAGATATGTTTGCTATTTCGCTGTCGTCATGCAGTCGTTATAATCCCCGAGCCAGCGGCGCGAAGCGCCGTGCGAGGGTACTAATCCCCCCCCCCGGTTATTTACACCCGGGGAAACGAAAGCATTAGCGAAGTCTAAAGTTCATCAATGAGCGCGGGCGTCGGTCACCAACGATGGGTGGTCATCCTCACTGATCTAAAAAATATGGCGGACTGTGATGAATAACGGACACTGATTGGTCCAATTTAAAGTTTGCATTACAACGACTGCATGACGACAGCAAAATAGCAAACATTTCTTGATTTGATGATTGATAAATTTCTTGCAAGTATATTTCATTTTTGCTCGTATTTCTGCAAGATTTTGTAAATTTCAAGAAAGAAAGAGCGAAAGAATCAGCTAAAAGAAGGGAGCCGACGTTAACGAAGGTAAGTTTGTTTTAAACATTGATTTTATAATGGTAAAACCCGACGGCCTTTGCGTATATGAAACAACTAAACAAGACAGCATATAATTTCAGTGTATCTTTAATATTGATTCCCTTTTTTATTATATTGAATTTTTTAAATAAGTAAAAAAGAAAGCAAAGTTATTTGCATGCGAGAATTTGAAATCATTTTATTGCAAACTCAAAGTTTATCGATAAAGCCATTTAATTAAAGGCAGTTTGGTTTTATAAAGAACACTTTAAAACGTTTTGTGAATTGTTTGTGGTTGAATTTTACCTTAAATTGCAGCTTGTATTACGTATAATTACTATCTAACACATATATGTTGGGAAATTGATAATTTTGTAATTAAAAGTGATATTTTTAGGCGATTTTCATTTGTAAGAATATTCTTAAAAAATTATCGTGTTACCATGACAACGACTTTAGATACTTCATGTTCGGAAATTACAACGGTTTTGTCAGCAAGGCGAGGGTTTCTGCATGCATGTATTTTCTAGTACAAACTTTAAATTGAACCAGTCAGTGTCCTCCATTCATGACAGTCCGCCATATTTTTGAGATCAGTGAGGATGACCACCCATCGTTGGTGAGCCTCGCCCGCGATCTTTGACGAACTTCAGACTTCGCTAATGCTTTCGTTTCCCCGGGTGTAAATAGCCAGGGGGGAATTAATACCCTCGCACAGCGCTTCGCGCCGTCTGCTCGGGGATTATACATACAAAAACAACAAATTATGTACTGTTTAATAAACGAGCAGGAGTGTTTTATTAGGTTTAGAACACGACCTGCGAGTTTATTAAACGGCTTCAAACACGACTACAAATTCAATAGATTTACTGCCTTGTTAGTATTCTTTATATAAAGAATACCAATGAGGACATGACAACAATAGATACTGCCTTATTAATATTCTTTATATAAAGAATACCAATTAGGAGTGTTTTATCAGGTTTAAAGCCATTGCACGTGACATATTATGGTTGACATGATTTGCCAATAAGCTTATGAATTATTAATGAGTGCATGTTTGAAAGGCGTTGAAAGTATTCATATAAAATCACGCTTGCCAGGAAAGTAGAATTACAGCTGACCTTTGACTTTGTCGTTTGCAGTTAACTATAATCTATCTCTAGAAAACAATGTAGTTTTTTGATGAATTGTGCACCGTAACTTTTTCAAATACATCAACATAATGTCGCCTTACATCTCGTCCTGGCAAAGCGGGATCATATAAACAGCCCCTTTTCAGCAAATTGTGCATGCTGCCTTTGATCCCTTGGGGTAAAGCCCGCCACGCACGAGAGCAACTTGCTGAGCTAACCGCCTCGCGAGGCGGGCTTAAGGCAGCACTTTCCTCTCGATAGTAACTCCTAGATAAAACTAAATTTGTAATACATGCATGATCCGCTGATTCATGTTGGCATACTCAATAAAACTTAATTGAGCAGACTTTCCAAGGCATGTATTATTAGTACAAGAGATTATTGATCCTTTCTATGCCGGCAAAACAAGAGTAAATGCTTAGCAAGCCGCTGGTTAAACATATTTTTCGTCCTGTCACAGTTATTTTATAATTGCATTCACAGTTATTTTATAATTTTTTCAGTTCTGGCATATATAATGGAGCATCAGATAACAAGCGTGTTTTTGTGTATTTTCAAACTCGAATACTTTTTTTTATCTGCTTGTCATTTCTTTGAGCTAACATTTACTTAATAATTCCATTTTTGCATGGATTACGATAATGATGCGTAAATATATGTACATGTTTCGGACATTTAAACCTATTAATGGGTCTCACTGAAACTATTAATGGGTCTTACTCAAAATTGATGCGCATGCATGGCTTATCGTGGTATTTGCATATATTAGGAAACAGAATTAGCCTAATATTACTAAATTGGGATCCTATCTGTTACTATAGCTCCAAAATGTGTCAGCCTGCGACTTTAAGAAGCAAGCAACAAAAGATTAGTATTTATTGTAAGCAGGTGGCATACATCATGTTTAAATGAACGCACGTTTGAAGTGCACCGAATATTTACATTAGTGAATAGTGTAAAGAAAAATATTAAGTATTCAACTGTAACTTCAATGAAGCAATATATATATATATATATACAAGCTGTGTATAAGTCAAGCTGTGTTATCCTCTATGTCATTCAAGCAGAGTTCCTCCCGATGATTTAATAAAAGATCTATATTAGTTTTTGGTCATTTTGCAGCGTGAAGCCACCAATTGTGTTATACAGGTAAACCGCAATAGAACTTTCGGTTATTAACCTTTACAAAGATGGCTTCAAATAATTCGAATCAGCTTTTTAAACTGGAGTTGAAGAAGTCGGAGGTATTATTCCTGCTCATCTTTAATTCGCTTGAAATCATTGTCGGACTGTTGTCGAATTCTTTTGTTATTCTCATATTCTTGTTGGCAAGCGAGATGCGAAAACGTCCAAGCGATTTGTTGATTTTTAATCTTGCAACAGCTGATCTCATATTGCTGACAGTATTCCAGCCTTGGTTGACATGTATTATCAGTGAAATAAGTATTGGGAAAAAATATTACTTCTTTTATGAAGGTCTTAATTCGTTCGTTCAACTCGCAAGTGGTCATGCAGTGTTCCTTATATCATTGGATCGATTTCTTGCCGTGAGCATTCCATTAAGGTATCAAACTTGGGTAAGAAGAAATACTGTCTACAAGTTTGTGCTATTGTTTTGGGTTTTGGCGCTTTTAATTGGAATTTCGAATGTTTTGGCATATGAGTTGAAATTCTACATGGAGTGGTTGACATTCTGGATTATACTTCAATTGGTTCTTTTGTTATCCATAACTTTGATGTACGTGGTAATATTTTCATCCTCTTTTAAACAAGGAAGAAGAATATGGCAGAGAGAATCAATTTCAGAATCGGAGAAGCTCCGTTATCGTATGATGCTAAAAATCACAACGAATACATTTATCCTTGTTTGTTTCTTCTACGCAACGTACTTGCCTGTCATAATTTATATAACTCATTCTTCACTAGTAATTGGGAAAGAGAACGACTTACAGATGGGAACAAGAGCTTGGATTTATTCATTCAGTGCTATTAATTGTTGTTTTAATCCCGTGTTCTATGTGTTTCGTACGGAAAGGTTTAAACAGGTCTGCTGTCGACTTTTGTCTAGTAAGAATACGAACAGCTGCAATGAACATATTATTGCCCGTTAAGCTAGTTTTCCACTTGCGAATTTCTTCGCGCGAAGCGAATTTGTTATTGTTTATATTGAAAAGAATTGATTAAAAATCTAATTAGTTCTAGCCGAAAGCTCATAAGACAAAAGATTCGCGCGAACAAATTTCGCTAGTGAAAAACCGCCTTTAGGGCGGATGACATCGGATTTACAATGTACAACATTTTCCTAAAACTGCTTACAACTTGAATTGTACTGTGTAAATACATTAAAGCACATAACTCTCCAGTGGCGCCGCTAGCTCGATAATTGGGGAGGGGGGCATATTCATTTAGCATTTTTGCACAAGTGAACATAACAAATCCTACGTACCAGGTGATTAGTTAAATTTGACGGATTAATCTGTTATATTCACCTACAGGTGAATATAACAAAATCGAAATTTTCAAAATGGCGGCTAGCCGTTTTGTTGAAGTTAGTGATAAAGAAATAAGCGAAATTAAAATGAATTCATACCAGAAAAAAGACAAAAAAAACTTGGGCAAAAATACTGAAACAATTATTTGCCTCAGGCTCGGTGATTATCGGGGAATATTTACCTCGACTTCGTCTCGGCGAATATTCCCCGATAATCATCTCGCCTTCGGCGAATAATTGTTAAATATTCGTGTTCTGAATTATTAATTTCTTTTCAAATCGATTGTTTTTAAGATCTGTGAACACGAATATATTAATATTGCCTCCCCCCCCCCAATTTCTAGCTGGCAGCGCCACTGTAACTCGCCTCATAGGTGTGGTCGGTGCTTGGTTTACACAGTGGAACACACGTTCTAAGCTGGATGCATACGACAGTTCTATGCAAAAGTTGTGTAGTGCAAGTCGGCATTTATAAAGCCTTAGATTGTGCATGCATATTTAGTTCGTGACCTAATTCCGTCAAGAATATCAACAGTTGCAATGAAAACCTCTCTGGGACTACTGTGGAATACGCCTCAAGGACAGGTTGCAGAAATTTCAAAGTCGGGCTGCAAGAGTAATTTCTGGCGCGACTTACGATGTTCGGTCGGTTGATTTACTTGAAAGTCTGGGTTGAAAACACCTAGAACTAAGGCGAAAAAATCAAAAATCTGTTTTTATGTATAAAATTCTGAATAACCACACCGCACCAAATCTAAGAACATTCTTTCGATTGAATAATGAATGTCGGATAATATCTATGATCTTAGAAATAAAGAAACCGATTTGTCTCTTCGTAAACCGAAGACGATTCTGGTAAAAGATGCTTCAAATATAACGGAGCGGTAGTATGGAATAATTTAATTACCGTATGAGGTAAAAGTAGCGGAATCTTTAAGTTCTTTTCAAAGAACTATTCATCAGGCAAACACTTAAAATTGGCTCGTCCTGTTGCCTATATAGTAATTCTTCTTTCTTTGTTTTGTATTTTTAATGTTTATCTGTACAGTATGTTCTTTCTAAATCACCCCATCATGGAAATCAGCTCCGTGTTGTTGAGGCCAACGTGCTTAAATACATTTTTGTATGTATGTATGTGTGTATGTATGTATGTATGTATATGTATGTATATATGTATGTATGTATGTATGTATGTATGTATGTATGTATGTATGTATGTATGTATGTATGTATGTATGTATGTATGTATGTATGTATGTATGTATGTATGTATGTATGTATGTATGTATGTATGTATGTATGTATGTATGTATGCATGTGTGTATGTAGCTATGTATGTACTGCATGTACTGCATGTACTGCATGTACTGCATGTCTGTCCTAGCTCGTGAAAGATTCTAGGCAATTCAGGCAACGTGAAAAGCGACTTTCAAAAGTTGTAACTGTAAATTTACCATTATACAAACAACTACAATACTAAAAAGTTGTATTTCGTGGTGCGGAGACTCTCAAACTTGGGAGAGACAATGCCCCCAAAATGGCGGGAAAATCGGCCGTGAGAAAGGCTAATTAGTGTGTGCTGTTGCATCGTCAAATTTATCAACTACAATCTAGTTTGTCAACACAATATTGTTTATTACTCAAGGACAACTGAATTTATGGAAATTCTACGATAAGGGAGCAGCATGCATGCAACCACCTAAGCGTGAGTAAGGAATAATTGTACTAGCTATGTGCACTTGAACAGAGTGTATTATTATGATGTATGTATATGATATCATGTGTAGATATAGTCTCGAACAGTCTCAGCCAGTACAGGTAGTGCCAGTAATAAGAAAGCTGCGGATTGATGTGGGCGAAACTACCTAAAAATACACTAGAAGAACATCGACTTTACGAGCGAAGCTCTTCGTCGGGAAGCCAGTCCGTAGCCAACTACTATTAGCTTAAGACGAAGGACCTCCATCACCAGAAATCTCAACCATGCTAAGAATGCCGTGCTCGCCCCAAGCCCTCAACTCAAACGTTTGTAAAATATTTTATGTATGGAAAATGTGTAGAGATATAATATTATATAATCCAGTTTTGTTTATAATTTTAAGCCAAACTAGGAGGTTGTGTACTTAGTTTAGGCAAATTAAACGTAAAAAGAAGTTATTAAAACAACGATTAGCTCAAAATATTTTAAATCGACCTTACTTTTTCGATTGTCATTTTTCTCACCCATATCAATCAACATTTATAACACTTGCAAGATAAAGGTGCGCAAAACGACTAAATATATGGTCATTTTTAACAAACACAAGGCTCTAAAATGAAAATGTGAACTTCGATATACAAAAATGAATACTACAGATCTTAAAATCGAGTACTGTTTAACTTCAAATAAAAAGATTTACCTTACTTTCCCCGGTTGTAAAAGTGCTATCTGACTTGCCCTACATAGTGCTTGTGATTGCGCATTGTGAGAGAAAATTCTACAGGAAAAAAAAGAAAAAAACCCTTGAAAATTCATATATTTATTGCTCACAAACGTGAATTTATCAAACATAATTCAGCACAATGCACATGCACAAAAGGGAAAGTTTGCTGACCTGCTATAAAGAGATATTGAGCCTATATTTCCCGCTGTTTGGCGCGAATTATAGATTATAATAAGTTGTGGTTGAAAAGTGACACCGGCGGAAATGTCAGAATATTTGCATTTTCGCGAGTAGTTGAAATTTAAATCAAGTCTTTCATTCTCGAGTGCTGCTGATCTATCTTATGTTCATGATAAATATCGGAACAACGTATTTGGTGTTGTTTACATCCCCGTGGAAGTCCTGGTGAAATGGCACTCGATTGTCGTAAGCAAGAACATCAAAATCCCATACGTAGAGCTTTTATATCTTTCCCAAGACCAAGAGATATTTCGTTTAAAGGAAGGATGTACTGGCCGTATCGAAAAACCAATCAGATTGCAGAACAGCCCATATACGGTGAATGACTATGTTATATATATATATATAAAATTTTTTTTAGGGGCCACTATTTCAATTTTTTTTCCGGAAAAAAATTTTTCGGACCACAACCTCCCCCCCCCCTCCGTCCACAACTTTTTAGGGAAAAAAAATTTTCCGGACGAGTACGTTGCAATTGCTTTCCAGGGACTTTATTTCATTTTTTCATACCAAATTTCGGTACTTGGCCCCAAAAAACAAATATCTTGCCCTTTGCGCGGAAATATTTAACCCACAAAAATGTTTGGGGCCCAACAAAAACATTCCAGGGGCCCCCAGCACCTCGGGACTGTGGGCAATTTGCCCCCCCCCCTCTCGGCGGCCCTACGGCTATCAGCCATATACGACGAGAGCGAATGGTATAATTGTTTTATAATATAGTCTAATAGCCATTAACTGAAGCAATAATTAATTATCCTCTGTAACAATGTCTTGACAATTTGTTCGGCCAAAACCATACTATCAGTTCGGAAAAAAAAATTATATATATATATATATATATATATATATATATATATATATATATATATATATATTCTTGTTAATTACAAGATTTTCTACTCTTGAGAATTTAAAATAGTATGACTATGAACTGATAGTATGACTATACCCTTAACTTTTCATCGAATTTTAGCCACATTTCTTTGTTAAAAAAGGACAAAAAATGGCAAAAAATTATACCGAACAATAGGAACTCGGATTAAAGAACATCTAACAATGGAGAAGCAAACTGTGTTTAAGCATTTATTATCCCATAAGAAACGTACAGCAAATAAGATCACTTGGAGGATTCTGCATTCAAATATCCGAAATGACGAGGAACGAAGATATATCGAGGCTTCTGAAATACAGAACCAACCTGAAGACATTATGAACGGTTGTGTTGGGAGAACATTAATTTGTATATAGAACGATTTTAAACTAGAATTAATTTGGAGCTGTTTTAACCTAGAGTACTTTTAACTTTTTAATTAGAACTTAATCCAACAGGAACTGGCGCGCACTAGTGCATCATTAGTATATGTTGATTACCTCTCTTACAATAGAACTAAGTTAGAATTTTTAAGTAGGTATGCTTGTATATATAATAGGTTATGAAACCCCATGTGTTGCGCGAACTGGGAGAATGAGTGACTTTGAAATGGAGGTCCGTTGTCAGACTTGATTTCTGTAGGAATGCCATGCGTGAGTAAAATGCGGTCAAGTTTCGGGATGACGGTATTTGCAGAGGCGGAGCGAACAATCTCAACCTCGGGATAGCGGGAGTATTCGTCGATTACCACGTAGAGCATATCGTCGGAGGGAAGAGGGCCACAGAAATCGACAGAGAGTTGTTGCCAAGGGGCCTGTGGTAACCCGGTCATGCGTAGGGGTTCAAATGGCTGTTGAACGACTGTTGCCTGGCAGGCGAGACAGGTGTCAATTAGCTTTTTCGTAAGCCCATCGATTCCAGGGAACCAAATCTTTTCGCGAAGCAGCTGTTTGGTTTTGGTAAGACCTTGATGACCTTCATGGGCGATGTGGAGAGCACGTTGACGAAGGGCATGTAGGAGGATGAGACGGTGAGAACGAAGAAGGAGATCATGATCATCAGAAACACTCAGTTTGTCGTGGATATTGTAGAGAGCGTGGAGGTCATGGGAGTTGACAAGGGGATTGGGTGTCTCAAACGTTGAGTGCCAGGAGTTAGGTCGGCACGGGTGGATTGTTTCACTTCAGAAACGGTCATAGCTTTTGGGGTGGTATGATCTACTAAGAACGCGATATATTCTTCCGCCTGGTCGGATACAGTGGCAGGGTGGGTTGTAACTAGTGGGTGACGGGACAGATAATCAGCGGAGTTGGTTTTGCCAGGAGAAAAGGAAATGGTGAAGTGATATGGTTGAACCTTGAGGGCCCAACGTTCTAATCGGGCATTGGAACGAGCAACGGGATTGGTAAAGATGCGTTCAAGAGGTTTGTGATCTGTGATGATGTTGAATTTCGCGCCGTATATGTAAAGATGAAAATGTTCACAAGCAAACAGTACACCGAGGGCTTCTCGTTCTGTATGGGGTTCTACGGAGTAAGAGAACGACTTGCATAGGCAACAACATGGTTGTCTTGGCAAAGAATAGCACCATGGCCAACAGGGCTGGCATCGACAATTATGGTGGCTTCTTTGTGGGGGTTGAAGTACGAGAGAACGGTGTCGTTGGTGAGAAGATGCTTCAGCTGATCAAAAGCATGTTGATGCTGGGATGGCCATATGTCCAGGGCTGATCGGATTTGGTAAGCGTACGGAGGGGTTCGGTGATGGTGGAATAATTGGTGATAAATTGGGAACAGTAGTTGGTCATACCGACGAAACTGCGAACTTCATGAGCGGTGGTAGGGGGAACTGGTATTGTTGATGGCAGAGACTTTCTTGGGGTCTGGGGAGAAACCATTTCTGGACAATATATACCCAAAGAACTCGATGCTGGGTTTGTTGAACTCGCACTCTTTGGCATTCAACGTTAGGTGCTTAGAGCGTAAACATTCAAAAACGGCATGAAGCGCTTTGTCATGTGCCACTTGGTCTGTACGCAAAATGATGATGTCATCGCTAACATTACGAGCACCTTCGATACCACTGAGAACCTGTTGGATGGCATCTTCGAAGACTTCTGCGGCGGATGACGTACCAAAATTTAAGAAAATGTAGCGGCGAAGTCCTCTGTGCGTGGAAACGTTGTGGTATAGCGGCTTTCGGGTGCGAGTTTCAGTTGATGGTAAGCAGAATTCAAATCAATTTTAGAGAAAACGGTGGCACCGGTAAACGGTGGTTTAGATCATGAATTAAGTGGTCAATAGTCGGTGTAATATGACGTCCACGAAGGATCGCACGATTGGGTCGGAGCATATCGATACAAAGGCGAATCTCGTCAGGGTTCTTTGGTTTTGGTGTGACAACGAGAGGGGACACCCAAGGAGTTGGGCCATCAACCGGTTCGATAATACCCTGGCGTTCAAATTTGTCAAGTTCAGTATTGAGCTTTTTGAGAAGGTGGAACGGAACTCTCCGATGAGGTTGCATCATGGGGGTACGGAGGGATCGATATGTACATGAACTTGAAAATCCTTCATCTTGCCAATACCGTCAAAAAGTTCTGAATATTCAGAACGTAATTGTGTGCTGCTAAGTGTGGAAAGCGGTGTAGTGATGTTGACAGATACGTTGGTTTGAGCGATGACAGAGATAAATTCTAATTCAGTTGCAGTTTTGTAGCTTAAAAGGCAACCATTTTGCCCTTAATAACGTGGATAGTAGCGGGCGCTGTGCGTGTTTTCGATTCAACGCGAGTCTACACTGTGAAGGTGAAGTACCGCCGTAACTGTAGATTTTCGTAGAGGTATGACGTAATGAAAGCTGATTATTCTACGGAGATTTCGTTATGGCCTGATAAGCCTTTTTATCAATGACATTAACGCTGGCGCCGGAATCAATGAACACTTGAAGTGGTACATTTGCAATCATAACTTTGGCCTTCGGGGTGGTTAAATCACTGACTTGGGAAATAGTACGTACTGTGAAAAGATACTTGTCCTCAGAGACAAGGTATTGTTGAGTGTCGGTAACGTGGCGAATCTCGCGGGGGGGGTTGACGCGGAAAGGAGTTAGGAGAGGGTGGTTGAAAACGCGATTGAGGGCTGGGGGAACTACTTTCAGCAAACGATGGTCTAGTGATAGGTTTAGATCGACAACAACGGGTTCATTTTCCCGCACGAACGACACTGGGAACCGCGCGCAGTACAGCTGGCTTGGCCTTGTGGATGGGGATAGGCATAGCCACAATGTCCACTCGTAGAGGATGGGCTGGGGAACTTTCGAGAATGTGGGAAAGGAGCAGAAGGCGATTGACGGGATTGAGAACGCTGAGACATACGAGTATAGTTTAATGTTCAGTTTCATCAGGAGAAATGGATTTAGATCCAAGTGCCAGAAGCTTATTTTTCAGATATTTCCATGGTCCGACCGAGATCAAGGAGTGGTTTGAGGGTTAAGGATGGGTCACGAAGTGCGCGCCCACGAAGGTGAGACGAGGAGCAATTGAGGATTATCTGCGATTTGATTTCTTTCTCAACAGAGGCAATTAATTTCGCAAGTTGAGGCCAGTTGGCGCAGACGAGTGGTAAATTGATCGAGCGTCTCAGTTGGTTGTTGGCGAGCTTGACAAAAGAGGTAGGTTTCATAATCGACGTTGTATTGCGGCGTAAAATGCTTGGCTAAGCGGTCCATCGCTTTCTTGTAGCCTTTCTCGTGACCGGTATCCGCTGAGGTCTCGAATATATCAAATGCTGACGAGCCAATATAGTGCAAAAGAAGTGCGCGTTTGCGTGTCTCATCATCGATATCCATGGAAAGAAGAAAATTTTCAAAACGTTTTTTCCATTTAGTCCAGTGTTGACTGGTCGTGATGGGGTCGTCTTCAACATTGAGTGGAGGAAATGGTGGTAAAGATGAGGCCATAGCGCATGTGGAGATATTTTGATCCTCGTCGCCAATGTAGTATTCTTATAGTTTGATAATACGAGGCACGCTTTTTGAGTGGTTATAACAATACTAAATTTAATATCCTTGGAATGCCAGCTATATACAAGTGACGTCGCACAAGTAGATGAAGTCAGGTTATTACACCGTCTCAGACCCAAAGCTTACTCCTTCGAATCAAAATTCGCCCCACGAGTGGTTATCACACCCTATTCCTCTCCAAATTGGTGAAATAGTTGTTGATTAAAGTTTTGAAGATATGGAAAGCTCTTTATAGTTGTTGGCAACATCATTTGGAATGCCGATTGTTCCATGATGCAGCACCTCGATATGAAAACGATTTCTTTATGAAGTCTGTTTTAGGTTTTTCCAAATAAAGTTTAATTACAGTTATTACTTCTTAACGGATACATATCATTTAGATAAATTTTAAAGATATGGTCTGGCAGGTGGCCTTAAATGTCATTCTATATCATTTCTCTTTTCTTAAGAGTGGTTTCAATTGGTTCCCAGTGTAAAATATTAAATATATCTTTCGCTCTTACTTCGTATGTTGTCCCTGTGATTCGAACCGCTCGTTTTTGCATTTTTAAAAGCTTGTCTGTATGTGTACGACTGCCGTCATTCCACACGTTGGAGCAATAAGTAAAGTGAGGTAAGACTAAGTGAGTTGTACATGCTAATTAATACGTTTTGGTTAACAAATCGTTTGGACGATCTAAATATTGTGAAAATTGTATAGTTTTTTTACATTGAAAATCATTGTGTTTATGCCAGCTCAGTTCATCGCCTAAAGTAATTCCCAGTACCTTCTTTTTTATCACCTGTTTGATGTTGTGACTACCAATCAGTATACATGGGTCATATGATAATTGTTTCAATTTTCGTTTAAAGGCTATTAGCATTAATTCAGTTTTTTTAACATTTAAAATAAGCTTGTTTGCTATTAACCAGTTAATGTTGTACAAATCGTTATTTAGTTTCACTTCTATGTTCGCAGGTGAATTACCAATGCTTGATGTAATATATGAACAACGAGAGCGAGTGTTTCACCGGGATATCCAAACACGAGAAAACAATGTATGAGAACACGAGCGCGAAGCGCGAGTGTTTTCATACATTGTTTTCGAGTGTTGGATATCCCGGTGAGACACGAGCTCGAGTTGTTTATATAGTTTCTCAAATGAATCGAGACGTAACAGAATGTTTTCGTTTGTTGATTTGAATAGAATTCCTAACGAAGCATATCGTAATTAGGAATTCTATTGAGATACACATTGCATAACTGAAGTGGGTTTTTCACGATGTATAGATTTGATGATTCGATTGTTCGTATTAAGTCATGCAGACGACAAAGAGTGATTACGATTAAAGCAATTTTGGGTGTGATTAGTGGCTAGTGACTAGTGGCTTTCATCAAATATCTTTATTACGTATGCAGCTAAACACTTGTGGTGCTGTGTCTGACGGTGTTTGACCGCGGTATCCAAACAGCATCTTGTGACGGAATGCTTACATGCTATTGGTTTAATTAGTCATGAATTATTAATGAATTTGAGAAATATTTGTATCGTCTTGAAACATAGATGTCTCTGTTTGTTCGAAGCAGTTAGGAAGATCGTTTATATACAATGAGAACAATAACGGTCCTAGGTTTGATCCCTGTGGAACTCCACACCACATTTTTTCAGTTGGGAATTTGTACCTTGCACTGTACATATTTGACTCCTATTGGTTAAGTACGATTTGAAGAAGTTAATGGGCTACACCTTGAATTCCATATAGTTCAAGCTTAGCAAGAAGGATTTTGTGGTCGACTGTATGGACTGCCTTTTTAAGATCAAGAAACAAGAAACCACTTATTAAGGGATCGGTCATTATTTATGGAAGGAGGGGGAGGGGAATTTTTTCTTTCCTAAATTTTTAAAATTGAAAGTCCCCCCCTTAAAAGAGCAGAAATTTAATGATGACCCCCCCTACATATTAGAATATTTTTCTTTGACCACCCCCCCATTTTCATTTTTACTCGACAAATGGGGATACCCAGGCGTTATAACGTTAATTATTAATTAAATAAGAATATGGAGCTAACAAGATATTAACGTCGACCAAAAATATATATTAGCGGAAAATTATAATTAAAAGAGGGGTATTTTCATATATAACTCTAAAATCAGGTTTCCATTTTGTCTGGGCGATTGTAACCATGTTTAACGGCAGAGAATTAATATTAGTGTTTGGAGCCAGGTGCCGTTTGTGGTCCAAGGCTGTAACTAGCTTTGATGGCACGAAGTATTGCCATAGCAGCTGCGTAGCAATGAGAGTAACAATCAGTAATATTAGCAGCAAAAGGAGATAGCCATGACAATTCTGGACATTCTGCCAAGGCATACCTCCGGCACCAGTCACACTGACAAGTCAGTGGAAACGAAATATCATGTATTAACAGACCTGCCAAGTTCGGAAGATAAAAATGTGTGACCATGGCCGTTGCAAGGACTTGGGGGGGGG